AAATTAACAGCTAAGTTAAGCAATAGTAGAAGAGAAAGAAAAGCCAGTGCCTTAATGTTTTCAATTACCTGTCCTTTGTTCACTTACATATGACTAGGTATGGGAATCCTTAAGATATTCAAATCCAGACATGCCAACCTATCAACAGAAGCACTCCCTCAAGCAGATGAGCATGAACATAAAAAAAGGTTTTAATAATGTAGCAGGTAAGTAGCCATTCTTTTTTTTTTTTTTTGATTAAGCACTGTATATTGTAGACATTTTGCAATTCTAAGCAATCATATATGCTGGTATTAATAAAGTAATGGACAGTACAAGATTATAGGAGATCAAAGGAAAAAGTTCTGTAAGGACAATCCTGAAAACTACTGTGTACAACAGGGTAAGCAAAATTACATTAATACATTCCAAGACCACAAACTACAAATTTATCGTTCTGTAAAAAACACCACCACGTGAATCCTCAGGAGTGTGAACATATTCCATTGTCTTGAATGCTTTGAGATTTACTCAGCAAAGACTATTGGAAAGTTCATATTTTTTTTCCATAAGCCTTTAGGTCAGCTTTTCTTGCAAAAATATTTTTTCTTTGTATATCTCAGTATATCTAAGTTGTGGCTTGGCTGAATGAAACACTGCAGCCTCAGTTTTCCTGAAATACTTTCCCATTGTAAGATCATTTTGCCTTAGTGCTTTTGCTCATGTCCAAGAGGAAGCAGAGTTTATGTTAGTTCTTTTAATAAATTAAAGGCTGCCTTTTTTTCCCCTTCTTCTAATTATTTGCAGCCTTTAGAATACTGGAGTCTCTAACATATCTGCTGTGTGGATTATGGAAATGATGAACTCAGGCTCTTTTTCTCTTGAGAATTAAGGGTAAACTAGATTGTACACAGTATTTTAAACATAAGCCTTCAGGAAATGACAAAGGTGATTCTTTGCTTCAAGTGCTTTAGGAAAGTTATTAATTTTAAGTTATGGCATGGACCTAAATTTCCAGGGCTTACCCTGCAGTTGCCAGCTTTCATTTTACTTTCAACAAATATTTTTAAAGCAAAAATTGTGGTGCATAAATTCTCTTTAGCTTCTTTCACTACTTCTCCCTGTTACACCCTGCCCTGAATTTCATCTCATTTATCTAATCTAGTATTTAGCTTTGAAAAATGACAGCTACCACCATGCAGAGAGCTATATGCATGATACCATTATAGCTATGGTGGCTACTGCTATAGCTACTCTGCATTTCCCACTATTTATAAATACACTATATCATACCTCTATTTTATTCAAAATTGCATGGATCTCATCACAGAATCACACAATGCAGTGGGCTGGAAGGGGCCTTTAGAGGCCATCAAATCCAAACCCCCTCAGTGAGCAGGGACATTAACTAGATCAGGTTGCTCAGAGCCCCGTATAACCTCAAAGAATAAAAATAAGCAGAAAGAAGATAACACTGGAGACCACCCACTGTTTTTTTTCACTGAATTCTATAGATGGACCCCGGGAGCTTCACTGTTCAGTTTTGAATTCGGGGGAAAAAGCTTCCGCTTGAGCCAAATTACCTGATAAATTTTCTCTTTTATCTAGAGGGTAAACAATTCTTCACTCAAATAAGTGTTCTAGAAAAAACATTCTAGTGAAAGAATTTCACCAAGCATTCTTCTCAACATTGACACGGATGTGACTCTTCTTAATTTACAGTAATTTGGCAGAAATTATTTTTCTTAAGGCCAGAGTTGTAGCTTCTCGGTTATGATTCACAGTGTCTGCTGACACTATCTGAGCTTCTACTACCAGACTGACAATGCTGTTGAGGTCCTGTTTGGCTCAAATTCAGGAGTCTCAGTTTCTTCTGTTTTGCTCTTATTTAAGTCTGACATACATCAAAATATATTTAAACCACACAGATTATAAAGTGGGCTTGTATCTTAAAGAAAATTATAAAATCCTGAATGTCTTCAAATTATTCCACTAATTATTCCTAGAGTTACTTATGGGTGCCATTCTGCCTCACCTTTTTGTAGAAGACTACACCAACCCTTTCTGATCTTTCAGTTTTGCAGACTTACAGTATTAGTGAAGGAAAATTCCTTCATTTTAATACTATGCTTATTTCCTTTGGTTTAGTCCAAATATGTATAGCAAATCTCTCATGATAAATTGAAGAAGATAAACTAAAAGAAGGGAGATTTTGTTAAGAACAAGTCAAGCTTCTCTTTCCTAGTATAATGTTCCAAAATCATGCGTTAGTCAGAAAGAAAACTCTCTTTTTTGAAATAACAGCAGCGCTCTTAAAGCTCTTTTTATATGTCTAATGTCAAAACATTATTTTGCATGTTCACTTACAGTCAGCTACACTCAATTCTTTCATTACTTGGTATTAAACATAATAATAGTATCAGGTGACAATTCTGAAGCAGGAAGCATGAAGAATTATATAGCACAGCATAAAGAATTAAATAAAACAAATGTTACATGGCCATAATTTTACATTTTATTATCTAAAATGTTAAGACTGTCTGTTTTACTTTTGGCCATTATAGAGTTGACTTGAGAGATGATGTTGTCTAAATAATAATTGCAAGAAAGTCAGTAGTGTAGTTAGAGAAATCTTACTGTAAAAAAATAAGAAACAACTCTGACTGGAAGGCTCTATCCAGAAAAAATAATGTCTGCATACAAACTGCCTTTAGACCCAAGTGTTTTCCATTGTTAAATCAAAGTCGTATCTGACACCACATATAAGCTATCAGTTGGCACGTTAGCTTTGCAGGACTTCTTTTGTTGTCAGAGAGTTTTAGTAGTTGTCATGTATTTGTAGCAGCAATGGCCTAAAGGAGGCAAGCAAGTTCTTGTCAGAGGTAACAAGAGAAAATTTCTGCAGGAAACAATTTTCTACATGGAAGTCCATCCTCCTCAAAAAATCTGTACTCATTAATCAGAGAATAAAGAGTGTAACTTGAAATATGCTATATGTGCATGTGAGAGAATTTTAGAAATCTCAAGGAAAACCTGCATTTTCCTTAACTGAAAATAGATTAGGTATTTGAAAAATAAAACTAATGCAAAGGAGAAATCACCATATATAAATGAATATGATAAATCATTCCTGTTACTATCAACATTGTCAGGACTATTCAATACTGAAAAAGATGGTATTAACTAATGCTAAATGACTACATCAAGAGCTAGACATTTACAGGTGAATTAATCACAACACTCCAATACCTCAGTGCTACTCACTGTCACAAGCACACCCGTAGACACTCCAACACTACTAATTACTCGATCAACTAGCAGCTGAGCTAAAAAACCCAACCTTTTGAAAGGCCTGAATTTCTTCCTTATAAAAGCACTGACACTTAAGACTTTGCTTGAAAGAATACATCCATCAGTATTAAAATTCTTATAGCATATCCTGTCAGGTGGCAACTTCAAAGGCAGTATCAAAAGCAACAAGGAACTCTGGCAGTACGCTCCAAAGGGAAGGTAAACCTACCCTGAGCCACCATGTCAAATTAATTCACCACCTTCCCACTCCTGAGACATTTTATAAGCTCCCCAAACCCATAAATATAGAGCCCTTGCTGATCTCATGCTTCCAGCTATGGGACTCCTTCACTAAAAATCTTCAGGATTCATCAAAACTCTCCACAAACTTTATTACTACAGTCATGCTCCTCTTAATCTCTTTATGTTTCGCAAACTGTAAAATCACTTTTTCTATTTTATTGCTATCCTTTCTATTAACAGATTCCCTACACCACTGATACTAATCTTATTCTGGATAGTCTAAATAATTTGTATCTAAGCAAACCCCAGAGCAATTGTTGTTAACTTGAACTTAACTTATAAATCATCTGCTTATCTTTTCATTGTGAAGAGGAGTTTGAGTATCTGAAGGCTTGTCATATAGTAAAATTAGTCTTGAAAACCCACATCTTGCCACTTGATGCCTTTACATTCAAAAGTAGTAAACAAAATAATTCTACTAGAAATATAAGCAGCAGGTATAATAATGTCTTAGCAATCAAAACTAACTTTTTCTCTAATTGAAGAGGCAGGAGGTTAATATTTCTTTTTAATGCCAGAAATGGAAATGGGGACTGTTTCTAAAAAGTTGATTTTTCAACTTCTGTGATATGCTATTTTACCTTACATTCTAAAGGTCTTTTTGTTGTTGTTATTCAGGACATAAGAAAATACAGTAATATCCCAACATCCAAATGAAAGGCATCTTGTTCAAAATTATTCAGTCTATAACAGTCAAGTATCAACCAAGAAATCAGTGAAATTACAGGCTGTTCCTCCAAACATTTCCTGCATCAGAATCTACAAAATTCAACTTTTAGAAGAGTAATTTAACTTGTCTTATAACATATTTTGTAATTCCTATCATTGTTAAAAGCAATATTATGAATGTTCCTCTCAATTTGTGAAACTGGCGTACAACTATCCTTGTAGAAGCATCTTTCTACAAAGTAACCTTAGAAACATTTCTGGTTCATTACTGCTTTGGTTTCCAATTTTTATAACTCTATTTTGCACCTATTTTTTTTTGTCTTAGAAAATTATTTTTTTGCTAAGAGAGATAATGGAATTCCAGCAGAATAAGGAACAAATGTAACATGTTTTCTCTTTCATGAGTATTAAAAAAAAAAGTCACCTAAATTGTCTACAACATAGATGCCACTATCTCAGACAGTAAACGGGCTCTTTGAAGTCAGTGGACAAAATCAGGCACTTACAGAGCATGATTTATCTCATTTCAATAAAAACATCTGTAAAGGTTGCAGGAATTTTGTTCTATATGTGCCAACTTCTCTCCATACACATAGCCTAGATGAAGATTAACAAGATGGCAACTCATTGCAAATATCAACTAGGTGCAGTGATGAATGATAGATGGCACAAGAAAATCTACTACTAACATCAGCAGGACATTCAAAAGAAAAAATACAATATACAAAGCAGTCAATGGAAGTGTAAAACATACTAACTTGATTACGTCTTCTTTCCTCTTGCATGGCTTCCTGAACAGCCTGAGCAATATACTCTTTATGTCTGTCACATTCTGCTTCCCACTTTTTTCTTTCTTCTGCACGAATCTTCTCCATATTTCTCCTTTCCTCCTCTACTGCTCTCAGAATAGCCTCCTGTAGTACTTCTTTTTCAGCCTTTGAAAGAAATCAAGCACAAATAAATAACCAAAATAGCCCACACAGTTGCCCAACTTATATGTATTACTGCTTCTAAATGAGATCTATGAGCTGATAAGATATGGGACATGAATAATTTAATTTGCTGTACTATGAGCTAAAATTTATCTTAAGGTGCTACCAAGCAGATATTAGCACTGGACAAAGACTTTGTTTTTACTGACAGAAAAAGAAAGTTACAAGCAAGTATCTTAAATTGCCATTTACTGAAAACACAATATATCATTAATAGTTTGCTTAATGCCAACACAAAAAACACACGTGGGCCTCCCTACACTGCTGGATATTCCTATATATGAGATATTCCTGATCTTGCCTACAAATATCTGAAGTCCAACACCAGTCTGAGTGCTCTCTGTGGCAAAGTAGCAAATACCTATTTAAAACAAATGTGTCTTCCCTCCAAAAACTCCTTAGCTATGCACTCTGTAAGTAGTACACTTTCATTTTTTTTCCTCCTCAATGTTTATATTCAACCATTATATGAAAGCATCAGAAGACACACACTGAATTTAAAGGACAGGTCTACACATGCTAAGCCACATAAGTATATTTATCAGTAAGACAATCATTGCATAATGTCTATAAATAAATAATGACAGGCTGAAGTTCAAAATAAGCAAACATCAGCTGACAAGCCACACCTACACATCCCTCAGTTTTAAAACTCTTACAGGTCATTCCAGTGCCCTTTGGTGGTGATTATGGAACTGGTCAAGTGGAGTTATAAACGGCAAAAAACAATGGGTTCCTCAAATATCTACACTTACAAACAAAGTTGGGACCTGACTTTTGACATGTCCAAATTTTTATACGATATATAAAATAGTTCCATCCTCACTGAAAATGTCCATATTTAACAAAAGTTAAATAAGACATTACACTAATTGTCTTAAGACCAGCAGTTGACCCTGCTATCTAGCTCTTCAAATCAACTGGAAGACCATGAAACCAGATATTTAGTTAACGTGAAACAACTGAACTGCAATATTGTGACTTGTCATAAACCAATTCAGAGGCTATCTCAGATAGAAGTTACATAGACTTAACACAAGGCACAGGATATAGTAGATAATGTTCATAATTTATAGAACTACCTTCCTTTAAACACAGATGAGAACACAGATTTTGACAGATTCACTTATGAAATAAGTATGAGTTGCCAAGCTTGATATTTGTCATGATACACGGGGAATCCACATTATATGGCTACTACTTAGCAAGAAATACCTTTACAGCCGCTGCCACAGCCTCCCTGCTTCTGTGTCTTTCTTCATCTAAACATTTGTCAAGCACTTCCTGTAAAAGTTATGAAAAATAAAACTGCAATAGACAACAGAGGAGTGGCTAAAAAGCATTTACACAGTCAAAGTACTTGAGAAAGTTTCCTCTTTCTGACAATAACTGTGAACATTGCCAATAAACTCCATGGTGCAATCCAGATCCACTTTTTTTTTGTTTTGAAAATAAAAGCAATACCTTGTGTTTTTGTGACTGCTTCATCAAAGCTTCTTCTATCTTTCCTGACAACACTTCCTTCTCTGCTTCCAAAATGTCAAGAAGTCGCTGATGCTACAGTGAGAAAACATTGATACTATCTTGAACACATTCTGCTAGTAAAACAGACAAAAAGAACTCATCCAAGACACTTAGGTTTGTCAGTTGCTTATAAGGTGAGTAAAACCACATTCTGTTAAATGACATATACAACAGTCCTTTAACTGATTTCATGTCATGAAAAAAATTTACAATAATAAGAAATGTTTAGGTACCTGGTTATGTAATGTTTCCTCTCAGCCTCAAGAGTATTAGGAAAGATGTTGAAAAAATAATCATTATATAAAAGGAACATTTAGAAAATTTATAAGGATGGTCTAAGCAACATCAGACTTTAAACATTTAATTTAAACTGCTGCAGAATTTAAATTATGCTTATACTACCTTTAAATTACATGTACAGAGAGCAGAAGGCAAATGTACTTTTTTTCAACCATTTGTGACACCATGAATTCGAAAGACAGGAAACAAGAGCAAAAGAGAATGCTGCTTTCTTCTCAATTTCTTGTAATCTGAAACAGTTTTTCAGGGACAAAATGAACACTGAACTAAATCAACCAGATAGTCTGTATGTAGACATACAATCTGTCACTGTTCTAATTACAACCCATTTATTTGTTTTCCACAAAATCAAGTAAAGCATTTGAAAGATGTGAGTTTTGTCTGTAAGAGCTAAGCTATTTTCCAGAACTAAAAATTATTACTGGAAATTATTGATGTTGGGTATTTGTCATGAGATAATTGCTAGCAAGTCAGTACACTTTTTAATAAGTTATTTAAGAGATGACATATTATAATCTTACAGTATCGATACATAAAAGTATTTTACGAGATTACCAAAAGGAGAGTGTAAAAGTAGAGTTCTATATTAATAAAAGTGCATATAACAAACATATCTTTTTTACATAAACACATAGGCAAATACCTCTTTCACCAGCATTTCTAAGATAGTCATTTCTGTTTCATGATTTTTATTACGTTTTAATTATAAGTGTGTCTAATGGCAGCTAGAAATACATTACCAAACCGTAATACTATGTGCTGAAAAATATTTTTTCATTTGAAGAATAGAATAGAAAACTTCTAGACTGCTTTATAAAATAAAACACCTCTTTGCCCTTCCAGGATAAACATGTAAAGAGGCATTTCCTTGTGAGTTTACCTAAAATAGGTCTGAATGGAGCAGACATATTCTAATGGAAAACACCTGTAGCAGGAGCAGTGAAATTCACATCATGGTTATACTTAATGGTGTGTAACTAAGTTTTCTCGTGGACGAGGTATTTTCAGACACCAACTTTAACTATCAGGACATTTACAGAAATTATTTTTTCCCCATTAACTCAAAGGTGAAACAATTAATGGATTTTATTAGTTAAATGATCTCCATAACTCCTCATGTGACTGACTGCACAGACTACGAAATTATTTCATTTTCATTTGAAAGAATGCCAGAACACAAGACATACATATGCAAATATTTTAACAGACATATGACACAAATCTAAGTTTATTACTCAAAGTCAATTAAAAGACTGAAACTACTTGCTTCAGTCAAGCATCAGCAAGGGAATTCCTAAGGAGAGCTTGTTAGAGCAAATCGCCTCTATCTTTAAACACCTACAATAGAATGGCAGTCAGCTTGTTCGGCAAGGTCAGAATTTCTAGTTTAAGACTTGCAGGCAGTTAATTCCAGTTTGACTCTAACCATCAGATTTCTAGGCTATATAGGAAGACTGTGCATGCATATTTCATGTTGCTGTAATGGGCTAGCTACCAGATGTATTTTACAACATTATTCATAGGACTACAGTTTTCAGCCTTTAAACTCCAGGGCAGTTCTAGAAATTTTATTTTACATATAATGCATGTGATGACATTCAAGCACATCCTTCAAGTCCTGAAACAATGTAGACATTCGCATTAATACAATATAGAACATGGCAATGGAAACAATGGCAATGGGCAATGGAAATAACCAATGCCTATTCTCCCTTCAGACACAAAACAATTTCATGACTACAGCCTTCCACACAGTAGTTTACTTTTCATAAATCTGCAGTATACCTACATTCCTCAAAAATACAGGTATCAGGACCAAAATACAGATATTGGGACCAAAACGTTTCTTCTCAAAGAGAAACCTAAAAATTTCTGACCTTTAATACTTCTCTGAAGTGAAAAATACATCTCCTTCACTGCAAATAAGCATGCACAACTGAATCCAGAGATCAATTATTTCCACAAAAACACGAAAACGTTACTCCACTTGGTTGTTACAGTAATGAAGAGTTTAACAACATCTGGACATATCAGTTCCATGGAGATATAGCATACCAAACAAATGGACATAAGGACAGCAGTATAAGATAAACCAGGTTGCTGCTTCTGGAAGCAGAAATCTTTAAAATACAACATACAGCTTTTGCTTGACCCTTTTACTACAAAAAAAAATTGCCTAGTAAGTAAACAACTACCACAAAAATGAAGACTGCTGTTACTGCCACTTGCAGAATGATTACTTTGATTGAGTTTAGGATCTCCTGTTTCCTCAACAGATCTATATGGTATTACACTTTCAGTTTTGTGGAATTCAGAGAAATTCAGTAAGAACTGTATCAACAATTGTATATGTGTATAAAAACACTTTAGTTCCTATTTTTCAAGATACTAGAGGTAACTGTGAACACATTCAGAATGCTTTCAAATCAAAGCTAAGGACTTCTGGCATATTTCAGTGTAACTTCTTTTACATTACATGGCATCCCTATTTCTCATGAAAATGTAAAATTTATAATTTCAAGATTCAAAGTCCCTTGTGAATAGCTTGGCATGTCCTTTCCTTTATAATGTAAACGTGTATTCATATGGAATAATCCTTCCATAAATGGTTACTTTCATAATTGAACTTTAAAAAGTTCATATATCATCACAAATGTTGCAACAGCTGTCCATACAATCCAGTAAAGCAAATTCTTTTGTATTAGTCCTAGAGAAATACCTTGAAGAACTGTTTGACTTGAGAATTTATATTTGGCCAGATAGATTTCTTTTTCAGAGAGAAACTTACCTTGAGCTACTAAATTATATACATTAAATGAAATGTAATAAGTAACTGAAAATAGACAAAGCAGAATAAAATATTATGTGAACAGCTTCTCTCGGAAACAGGTCTAGAGTCCAGAAAGCTCATACTGCATAGTTAGCATAGACACACCATAAAGAATGAAAGCTTCCATTCCACATGTAGTCCAGATACTGTGCCCCACAGTAGTATTAGCCATCATAAGGAGCCATGGAATCTCCTTGAAAGCTGTGCTTATTAAAATGATGTAAAGCGAGCGCAGCAGTACTATTAATCTATTTTCTAGAGAAGAATGCATCACCTGGTCATCTGAATTCCTTTTTACAGAAACACAGATATTTCAGAGGCATATTCAAGTATCTAGATTATGTATAATACTTGAGCAGAATATGTGGGAAGTTATGAATTCTGTGCATTCCTTCTTCTGACAGCAAACAAAGAAATCTTAGCTATTTCTGCATGACAGCATTATGACAGATTTTGAAAAAAAGCAGTAATGCTAAGGAAATGATTAATGAATGCATGAATAGATTTCTAAGCTGTTAGTTCACATGTCTCTACATAGCAAGCTATTATAACGCTTCTGGAACTAGCCTGTAAATTAGGGAAACTAGTTTTGTACTTTGTATTTACAAATGAATCATATACCTTCCAAGTCAAAGTTACTATATTGAAGAATTAATAATATATTAATTTTCTAGACGTATGCAGAATGACTTTGGATTCTGGTAATAAATGGCCATGATGATTTTAGATACAGACAGTGCTTCCTCAGCTGGTTATGAAAAGGGAGTTGAAGGTTAAAAACATAAAAGGTGACAGTGTCACTTTAGTACTTTAAGAGCTTTCAAATGCTCTTGTATTTTTAGCTAACAGGAAATAACAGGATGATTTAGGTTCATTTACTCAGCTTGTACATTTTTTGTTCAAATATAGTAATGATCTGTTAACAATATAGACCATTGCTGAATTAAAGATCATATATGCTGAAATAAACGCCTACAGCTAAGCAAACTTATCTCATAGCCCTCTCCTCTTCTAACATGAATAAAAGGTATAGAAAGGATGTGACTCGAATGAATTTCCTTCAGTATTTCAGGTTTTCACATGTAAGAATTATGACCATGTTCCTCTCTCTGTTAGACAGTGTTAAAGGAATAAATGAAGGGCATTGAGACTTAAGGTACCACTCTGAGCTTTTTATACACCGAATTTTGATTTCCAAACATTGTAGAGGCCAATTTCTGTTAGGCTTATCTGGACAGCAAAGATGGAGGGCTCCTGGTAATTGTACCTGTCAAGAGAATATTGCCCATGCTTCAGTAAGTAAACCCAATAAAAGCTTTCAAGAAATAGTGCCTGGCTTCCTGTAAGTAAACTAATGAGTTCATCAGACCTAACAGCCTTTGAAAAATAATCAAGTCTATTCCAGTTTTCCTGTGAAAGTTATGATGAAAACCTACTTATGAGTCTTACATTTGGAAAAAAGCACCTAACCTGTGTAGACTATAAGACAGTGTCCACTAAGTTTTTAAATGGAAGTTGAAATGAGGGTTTCCTTTATTAATCAACAACGCAAGAATCAGAAAACAGGTAAGCAAATTCTAAACATGTTTGGGTCTTGAATCCAATTATCCAGCTGTTATTAAGCAAATATACCTTATTGGATTAAATATACTTCTCTGGATTAAAGTGCAAAACCAGAAATTGGCTACCAAAAATCTTATTAATAACAACAGTAAAAAATAATGCCCTGAGTGGAAAATACGGTGGATGAATCAGTGTGAAGCCAAAATAAATCTCAGTGCGAACTCCACTTTGGTGCGACAAGAAAGTTTTCAGTTTGTTAGGCTGCACATTCATATCAAATATGTTACCTCTAAGACACAGTAGACAGTAGAACCGTATGCAGATACTCAGACAAATCCAG